AAACATTTATAAAGTGAAAGCTTTCTTGATTCCTGTAATCCCATTTCTTCCCCTTGACAATTTGGTGTGTATATTTTCCCTAAACTCTCCAGTCTATTCATAATGAATATGTATTTATACATATATTTCACAAAAATTGGGTCAAGTTATTTAGTTCTAAAACAACTTATTTTTTTGGTCAATGCAGAGAGATCTGTTTCATTAGAAAATAGCTATTTTGTTAGGGCTTGCTATGTGCTTGATACTGTTCTAGGTGCTTTTGTCCGTTTTATATAGATACTGTATTAATGAGGTGGAGAGATTGGTTAACATCTAGTTAGTGGTAGAGTATGGATTTGAATTTGGCACTTTGGTTTCAAAGCCCTGATCTCTCAGCCTGTTTTTTTTTTGTTTTTTTTTTTTTTTGGTGAGGCTCTTGAACTGCCAGTGATTTTAGCATTTCTTAAAGAGTTATAAAAGAAAAACAAAACTCCCCCAAATGAATATGGAAGGAGACTGGATGTGGCCTGCCAAGCCTAAAATATTAATCATGTGGCCCTTTACAGAAAAAGTTTGCCGTTCCCTGCTTTAAGCTATCAGGCTATGTTGTAAGCAGAATACATAGTATTTCAGTTTTTATGAGTGTGTCACAGAGTGAACCAATCCTCTGTGAAGGACATTGTGTTCTCTCCTTAAAAGAAGTGAACACCCTTATATATTTGAACATTTGTGGGACAACTTTCTATAAGGAGAATTGCTGTTTCTAGAGTATGCACATTTCAAGTTTTAATAAATGTCAAATTGCTTTCTAAAAAGGTATCCATTTTTTAGTTAAAAAAAGAACTTTATTGCTGGGCCATTGTGGCTCAGTGGTTTTGCATTGACCCATGCACCAAGTGGTTGCTGGTTCAATTCCTGGTCCAGGCACATGCCCAGGTTGTGGGCCTGATCCCCAATGGAGGGCATGAAGGAGGCGGCCAGTAGATGTTCTCTTATCGATGTTTCTATCTCTTCCGCTCTTCCTCTCTCTAAAGTCAATAAAGAAAGAAAAGAAGCTTTATTGAAGTATATATATATATATATATTTAATCTGCACCCGAGGACATTTTTCCATTTTTTTGTTCAGATAGAGTGGGAGGGAGAGAGAGGAAGAGAGAGAGAGAAACATCGATGTGAAAGGGACACATCGAGTGGCTGCCACCCACACAACCCAGCCAGGGCCGGGGACAAACTGCAACCGAGGTACATGCCCTTAGTGGTAACCCAACCCAGGTCTCTCGGGACCACAGGCCGACGCTCTTAACTGCTGAGCCAAACCGGCCAGGGTGAAGTGTAATTTATATACAGTAAAATACACACATCTGAAGGGTACAGTTTGAAGAGTTTTGGCAAATGTATACACCTGTGTAACCATTGCTTCGATTGCTCAGTTGGTTGGGCATTGTCTGGTGCATGGGAAAGGTTGCTGGTTTGATTCCGCGTCAGGGCACGTGCCCAGGTTGCGGCTTAATCCCTGGTAGGGTGTATGCAGGAGGCAGCTGATCAATGTTTTTGCTCTCACATACGATGTTTCTCTTTCTCCCTCTCCTTTCCACTCTCTAAAAATCAATGAAAAAAAAATTTTTTTTTTCATTTATTAATTTTAGAGGGAGAGAGAGATAGAAACATTGATGAGAGAGAACATTGATTGGCTGCCTCCTGCACGACCCCCACCAGAGATCGGGCTTCACAACCTGGGCATGTGCCCTGACCAGGAATCAAACTGGTGACCTCTTGGTGCATGAGTCCATGCTGAACCACTGAGCCACACTGGGAGGCAATAAAAAATTCTTTTTTTAAAAAAATTTATTTATTTATTTATTTATTTATTTAATCCTCACTCGAGGACATTTTTCCATTTTTTTGTTCAGATAGAGTGGGAGGGAGAGAGAGGAAGAGAGATAGAAACATCGACATGAAAGGGACACATCGAGTGGCTGCCACCCGCACAACCCAACCAGGGCCGGGGACAAACTGCAACCGAGGTACGCGCCCCTATCGGGAACCAAACCTGGGTCTCTGAGGACCGCAGGCCGACGCTCTAACTGCTGAGCCAAACCAGCCAGGGCAATAAAAAATTCTTTAAAAAAAAAAAAAAAAAGAATATTGCTATCATCTTAAAGTTTTTTTTTTTCCATCCTCACCCGAGGACATTTTTCCTTTTTTTTTTTTTCAGATAGAGTGGGAGGGAGAGAGAGGAAGTGAGAGAAACATTGATGTGAAAGGGACACATCGGGTGGCTGCCACCCACACGACCCAACCAGGGCTGGGGACAAACTGCAGCCAAGGTACATGCCCTTAGCGGGAACTGAACCCGGGTCTCTCTGGACCGCAGGCTGACGCTCTAACCGCTGAGCAAAACCGGTCAGGGCTTAAAGTTCTTTTATGCTCCTTCACAATCATTCTCTCTCAAATACCTATCAGATTTTTTCTGTTTAAGAATTTCATATAGATGAAATTATACAGTATATTCTCTTTTGTGATTAGTTTCTTTCAACCAGCATGTTTTTATTTTATATTTATTCATTCATTTATTCATTTATTTTTATCCTCACCCGAGGACATTTTTGCATTTATTTTCAGCTAGAGCGGGAGGGGGAGAGGGAGGAAGAGAGAGAGAGAAACGTTGACATGAGAGAGAGACAGAGAGACACATCGACTGGCTGCCACCTACATGACCCCAACCAGGGCCAGGGACAAACTGCAACTGAGGTACGTGCCCTTAGTGGGAACCAAACCTGGGTCTCTCTGATCTGTGGGCTGACGCTCTAACCGCTGAGCCAAACCGGCTAGTATTTTTTTAAAATTTTTTTCTTAGTTGTCTTCCATTGTATGAGTAGACTGATTTTATTCATTTACCTGTTGATGGACACTTGGACTGTTTCCAGTTTGGGGCTGCTATTATACTAAATTTGCTATGATCATTTGTGTAAGTTTTTTGTGTGCCATCTTTTAATTTCTTTTGGGTAAACATCTTGCAGTTAAACTGCTGGGTTGTGTGGTAGATATTAAATTAACTTTATAAGGAACTGCCAAGCTTTTCCTACGTGATTGTGCTATTTTGTGTGAAGTTATAATTTTAGTTGTGGCTGTAACTGACAGGACTCAATGTCTCTATGCCTTCATTGGCACTTTCCATTGCCAGTCTTTAAATTTTTTGCCATCGGTGAGTGTTAAGTATCTCATAGTGGTTTTAATTTGTATGTCCCAGATGAACAGTGATGTTGAACATCTTTTCTATTTTAATTTTTATTTATAGATTTTAGAGAGAGAAGAATGGAGAGAGAGAGAGAGAGAGAGAGAGAGAGAGAGGTAAACATAGATTTGTTGTTCCACTTATTTATATATTCATTGGTTGCTTCTTGTATGCGCCCTGACTGGGGATCAAACCCGAAACCTTGGTGTATTGGGATGATGCTCTAACCAACTGAGCCACCTAGCCAGGGGATGTTGAACATCTTTGAAGGTGCTTATTGGCCATTTGCATACATTTTTTTGGTTAAGCCTTTTGCCCATTTAAAAAAATGATGTTTCTCTCTCCCTCTCTTTCTAAAAGTCAATTTTTAAAAAATTGGGTTTATCTCATTGAGTTGTAAGAGATCTGTAATATTCTGGATATACATTTTCTGTCAGATTTATTTTAAATGTTTTCTCTTTAATTTTCTACATTGATTTTTTTTGTATTCAGATCAAGTTAAATAATGCTAATATTGGGAGTATAATTGTTTAAATTCATTTTAAATTATGTGAAAGCAAATTTATTTTTTATCTTCACTTGAGGGTATTTTCGTTGATTTTTAGAGAGGAAGAGGGAGGGAGGGGGGAGGAAAGGAGGGAGGAGGGGAGACAGAGTGAGGAAAAGAAACATCGGTGGGTGTGAGAAAGAAACATTGATGTGAGAGTGAAACATTGATTAGTTGCCTCCCATACATGCCCTGACTGGGGATTGAACCCACAATTTAGGCATATGCCCTGACAGAGAATTGAACCCGCAATCTTCCGATGTTTGGGACAATGCTCCAACCAACTGAGCACCTGACCAGGGCATATGTTTATTCTTTCTTTTTTTTATCCTCACCCGAGGACATTTCCTCATTTTTCGTTTAGATAGAGCGGGAGGGGAAGAGAGGAAGAGAGAGAAACATTGATGTGAAAGGTATACATTGAGTGGCTGCCACCCGCACGACTCAACCAGGGCTGGGGACCAACTGCAACCGAGGTACGTGCCCTTAGCGGGAACTGAACCACAGTCCGACACACTAACCGCTGAGCCAAACCGGCCAGGGCCATACGTTTATTCTTAATCCATAAGCCATTTAGTTCTTGGTATAACAAAATGTTATGTGTTTGCAGAACCATGGAAATGAAAATGATCCATTTTTTGTTCAGATAGAGTGGGGGGTGGGGGGGAGAGGGAGAGAGAGAGAGAAACATCGACGTGAAAGGGACACATCGAGTGGCTACCACCTGTATGACCAACCAGGGCCGGGGACAAACTGCAACTGAGGTACATGCCCTTAGTGGGAACCGAACCTGGGTCTCTCTGGACCGCAGGCTGACACTCTAACCGCTGAGCCAATGATATTTTTTGTACAGATAGTATTAGGTGTTTTGAAAGTGATACTATTTGGTAATTTTTTTACGTTTTCAATTTGGGATAATTCAAACCTTTTCATTTATCATTGAGTTAAAGTTTTTCTTAATTTTTTTCCTCATAGGATAAATGAGGATATTTAAAGTAAAATAAAGTTAAGGTAACCTTGATTGTAGAATCTGATATGACGATGAAATTGCCAAGCTTGGTCTACCAATTTTGATAGTTAAATAAATTTTTTAACTATCACATTTTATAATAAATTATTTTGTATAAAACAGATGGCTTTTCAGAGTATATTAACTTAATTTCTGCACACTACTTTATTTCTATAAAATATCAGTTCTTTTGCTAATTATCTGATTTACCTCTATAATAATTTGTAATACATGACCCTTTCTTTTCTCTGTTTAATAAAGGGGGAGAAAAAAAAGAATGCAAGCCTTCAGGCACTTATTGGGTGCCACGCACTACTCCAGGTGATGGATCATGTCATTGCCCAGATCAGTCTTTCCATGGCTATGGATTCAAGTGAGAAACTCTTGAAGCTATCCTTCCAGGCAGTGTAGTGAATAGTCCCAATGCACTTAGTGTTTTATCTCTGGTAGTTTTCTTATACCTTTCCCTATTGAACTCGACTGACCTTTTTACTGGTTTCCGGGAACTTCCACATGGCTTGTCTGTGCTATGTCTTTCTGAAATATCTTCCCCACCATTTTAGCATTTTAAGATGATGATTAGCCTGTTTGGGTCAAAACACCCTTCCCCCTCTCTTAACCAAACCAGACTGCTTATCTCTTGCTTAGAAAGCACATCTCTTGGGTTTTTTTCTCTCTCCTTCATTTTAAGCTCTATTTTACTCGTCTATGTGGTAGAGGTTAGAAAAAGGGTTTTGCACATAGTAGATAGAAAAATTTTTTTCTGAAATTAATTTAGGACCAGACCCCTGAAAATTTGAGAAGAGCTCTTCTTGAGCAGCAACTCAATAAATTATTTTTGAAACAGCACCTCCAACCCCTAAAGAAGAGCTTTCGAGATTCTATCAAGTGAATTTTGCATGACTCTACTGTGTATCACCCAGTGAACTTTGCCAACCTCTGTCAGGTACTATTATAAAATTTTAATTTATATCTTTAATGTAATGTTGATTAAAGTCAAAGAGCTTGAACTCTGATGATGGAAAAAATGAGCAGAAAATAATGGTTCTTCAAACGTATCTAAGAATGATAGTTATTCCTCAGCTGCAGTCATATGAGCTAAATTCATACATAATATATCAAGATGTCTCCAGTTAGTGTTTTTTTGTTTTTTATCCTCACCCAAGGACATTTTTCTATTTTTTGTAGAGTGGGAGGGAGGGATGGAGGGGGAGAGAGAGAGAAACATCGACGGTAAAGGGACACATCGAGTGGTTGCCACCCACACGACCCGGCTGGGGACAAACTGCAACCGAGGTACATGCCCTTAGCGGGAACCGAACCCAGGTCTCTCTGGACCACAGGCCGACGCTCTAACCACTCAGCCAAACTGGCCAGGGCTCCAGTGAGTTTTAAGGTGTCAAAAAGACCAATATTGCCCTGGCCGGTTTGGCTCAGCGGTTGGAGCATCGGCCTGCGGTACAGAGAGACCCGGGTTCGGTTCCCGCTGGGGGCACGTACCTCGGTTGCAGTTTGTCCCCGGCCCTGGTTGGTCGTGCAGGTGGCAGCCACTCGATGTGTCCCTTCACATCGATGTTTCTCTCTCTCTCCCTCTCTCTCCCTCCCGCTCTATCTGAACAAAAAATGGAAAAATGTCCTCAGGTGAGGATAAAAAAAAAAAAAAAGAAAAAAAAAAGACCAATATTTGTGACTCTCCATTTTAGTGCTTTGGTTTTTTTTCTAAAGGCCATTGAGGCCCAGCCAGTGTGGCTCAGTGATTGAGCATCGACCCATGCACCAGGATAGGTCTCCAGTTTAATTCCTGGTCAGAGCACATGCCCAGGTGATGGGTCCAATCCCCAGTGGGGGGCATGCAGGAGGTGGTCAGTTGATATTCTCTCTCATCAATGTTTCTCTTTCTCCCCCCCTTTCTTTCTCTCTAAAAATCAAGGGGGGGGGGGAGACTATTGAGAAGTGCTTTGTAAGCAAATCAAACATTTAAAAAAAATTGTTGATTTTCTTTAAACAGTGGAAAATTTCAATCATCATTAAACAGCTTTTATATGTTTTTGATGCCATAGCCTATAGTGAAATGTCACTGTATTTGTAGGTACATGAGTCCCTACCATGTGCTTACAAATAATAGAATTAACTATTTATTGAGAACCTATTCTGTATGTAATGAACATGGAAACATTTTACTTATGCAAGTTGTTGAAAAATCTTGCATTCTAATTATGTAAAAACAAATACCATATATTATTTGCTAAATGGGAAAAGTATTATTTGTCCTTCGAATATTGTAAAAGGGTCTATTAAGATGAACTTTATAATGTTTTAACAGTATGTATACTGGTCTATCATTAGGTGGCAAAAAGCTGCAGTGTGAGTAGCCTTATTTATAAAATTTTGATCTAAAAATTTTTTTTTTTTTGGTATGTGCCCCTAAGTGGGAACTGAACCCGGGACTCTCTGGTCCACAGGCCAATGCTCCAACCGCTGAGCCAAACCGGCCAGGGCTAAAATGTTTTTATATTTAAATTATTTACTAGCACAAGCAGAATTTGCAAAACTATTTAAACCGTAATTGTTACTATGAGATATGTTGTCAAGCAAGGTATTTATGTGTCAGAAAAGGTTGGGAAATACCCTTGTAGAGTAATCAGTAAGGATTTTTAAGTGGCAGAAATGTTGCTTCAAAAGGCCTAGAGAAAGGTAATGTTGAGTTACCTCACTTTGTCCCATAAATAGTAGTGCCTCTGGAGAATATTTGTCTGCCTGAATTACAGAGCTCAAGTTATGTCATAAAGAAGAAATTAAAAGAAAAAAAAATTATTTTTTATCACCATTTATCCCCTCCGGACCTTCTTCTACCTCCACCCACCCCATTCCCCCTGCAATCACCACACTGGTCCATGTCCATGGGTTAGTTTTTTGTCTTTTTTGCTCAAATCCTCCATCCCTCAACACCCTTCCTCGCTGCCCAGCCAGAACTGTCTTTCTTTCTCTGACTGGCTTACTTCACTTAGCATAATATTCTCCAGGTCAATCTAAGCTGTCTCAAAGGGTAAAATTTTCTTCCTTTTTACGGCAGAATAGTACTCTATTGTGTAAATGTACCACAACTTTTTTATCCACTCATCTATTGATGGAAAGGAAGACATTTTTAAAGGGTGACTTTCCACTGGCAGCTGGATACTTGCAAAGAACATAGTCTCTAGGCTAGGCTCTGCCATTAAGCTAGTTTTATTTCCCTGGCAAGTAGCTTTGTGGATGTCATGTTCATCACGTTCAAAGATGAAGATAAAGAAATAGAAGCTTGGTGAAGGTAAGTAACTTGTCCAGATTTTCACACAGTCTGTAGGGCCAAGGTCTCTTTAGGCTTTTGCTACCATGGCTGCTTGTTAGCGCAAATGCTGGATTGCGAGATGCTTGGTGTGTTACCCACTTAGAACTAATTCTCTGGAGAGTTTGAGAAATATTGGACTTGAGTTCGCATTACCATCACAGGAAATTGTGAGTCTCCCTAGCTGATATTTAATTGACCAATAAAACATCTAATGCTGATTATAAGCCTATTTTTTCTCTGCATTATAGGCATAATAGCACCTTAAAGCTTTTTAGGGCTATGATGGATCAGCCTAAACTAGCTTTGTAAACAGTCAAATTGGGATATTGTGTTATAGAGTAAATATATATTTGGACTTCATCTTGTTTCTGGCACAGAGCTCCTAAAACCCTTGGAATTTTCAAAGTGATAGTGATAAAAATCTTTTGATATTCATAACAAACCCTTTTCAACCATATCTAGGTTTATATTAATGAGATGGCTTTTGGAACTTAAGGATGGGGGCTGGTAGTCTGGAACCAAACTGATTGGGGTGGGAAAAACTACCACACGGTGACCAGAAGTGTCAGAAGTGAAATACTATTCGGATAGTATTGTGTAGACTTTGTCTTCATCTTGACACAAATCTAGATTGGGAAGTACATACTTTCTTTCTATAGAATTTACTCTCATAGATAAATTTTTACCATTTGTCTGGTGTCACTTGTCCACTAACAGCATGTAACTAAACAGCTGGCTATCCCATACATATTTTGTAGAAAAGAAAATTTCTTCAAACTATTTGTTGGGTGTCGCAGTCTTCACCTGTTAGAGCTATTCATATAAAGGGTGAGATACTCTCTTCTTGACCTAGAAAGAGACATTCTGTACTAGTGAAAATAACAGCTTGTAAATCTAGACTGCCAAACAAAATGTCATGTCTTTTCTAGGCCCCTAGTCAAGAAATCCTAAGAGGTAGGTGCTCATGCTAGCCCTCTCTTTTTCCTCCTTTCCCACATGAAAGAACTGGGACAGAAGTCTTTTTACCCTGCCTAAAGACCTTAGTCTGGAAATTGCAGGGAGGTAACTGCGGGGCTTATATAGCTGATTGTCTTTCTTATTTATTTATTTATTTTTTTATCCTCACCCGAGGACATTTTTTCATTTTTTTTTTTGTTCAGGTAGAGTGGGAGGGAGAGAGAGGAACAGAGAAAGAGAGAGAGAAACATCGATGTGAAAGGAACACATCGAGTGGCTGCCACCCGCACAACCGACCAGGGCCGGGGACAAACTGCAACCGAGGTACATGCCCTTAGTGGGAACCGAACCCGGGTCTCTCAGGACCGCAGGCCGACGCTCTAACCGCTGAGCCAAACTGGCCAGGGCTAGCTGATTTTCTTGTAGTTGGTAAATTCTTTACAGCATTTCCTTAGGTATTTGGAGACTTAAAAATGTATTTTCTCAGGGCTTATTTGTGACAAGTCGTTTTATTCTTTTTTTTTTTTTTTTATCCTCACCCGAGGACATTTTTCCATTTTTTGTACAGACAGAGTGGGAGGGAGAGAGAGGAAGAGAGAGAGAGGGAAACATCGATGTGAAAGGGACACATCGAGTGGCTGCCACCCGCACGACCAACCAGGGCCGGGGACAAACTGCAACCGAGGTACATGCCCTCAGCGGGAACCGAACCCGGGTCTCTCTGGACCGCAGGCTGACGCTCTAACCGCTGAGCCAAACCGGCCAGGGCTGACAAGTCGTTTTATAGGAATAAATTCAGTACACAATATATTTAGTAAACAAATACTGAAAAAATATCATTGATTATAAATAATACTTGAAGGGTTTGAAGTTTTCTAGTACCTCAGCAGTATAATATATATTTTTAATCCTTACCCAAGGACATTTTTCCACATTTTTATTCAGATAGAGTAGGAGAGAAAGAGAGGGAGAGAAGCATCGACGTGAAAGAGACACATCGAGTGGTTGCCACCCACACGACCCAACCAGGGCTGGGGACAAACTGCAACCGAGGTACGTGCCCTTAGCGGGAACCGAACCCGAGTCTCTCTGCACCGCAGGCCAACGCTCTAACCGCTGAGCCAAACTGGCCAGGGCTCAGCAGTATATTTTTGATAAACGCTAAGTAAAGGAAAATCTTGGAAGGCCTATAGCTCATAACTACCACTGTCCCCTTTACTTCTATGTTGTCCTGAAACGACCACTATTCTTAGCAAGAAAATGAACTTCAGGGCTGAGGTAAGCCAGAGAAATTTCTGAGGGGTCTCATTGAGGTTTCCATATGGAAACATGCTTACCTCCCTGTAACATCCACTAAACTCAAGTACTGAAACTACCAGATAACAAGTTGTAGGGGGCTTGGATTAGTAGTTTGAATCCATTTTTGATGATGTTATCAGAAAGAGGATTTTGTCTAATTCGGGGTTTGAATATAAGGTCAGTGTACAAGGCAAAAATAGTATTTTGGTAGAATTACCCGTGAAAAGTTCCTAGGAAGATGCCATATCATAAATAATTTCTCTTGAGGTCCAAAACCAGCCCATCTTTCCTCTAGTAATTTTAGAGGCGATGTTGAACCTCAGTTCTTGAGTTCAGCTAAGAAAGAATTCAGTGTCAAGAAA